AGATCCCACCGGGACTCAGCCCGCATGGTGGCAGGAGGGAACGCTAGATGGCCCGCTGCACGGGACCACAGAGAAGGCACAGGGAACCAGAAGCTCTACCAGTTTGAGAGGACAGGTCCTGCACACAGCTGTCACGCGGCCTTGGCAGGGCAGAGCTCTGAGCCGTGGTTTCATTACCTGTAAAATAAAGTATCCCTCCTGCGCCCTTACCCCCCGCCCCTTCGTAAAAGTGGAGCACAGAAAACATTTCCAAACACCTTTCAGGTATGAGGTCGACACTTAAACTGTCAACTACGAGGTTTCAGATGTAAAGGTGGGACACGGTAACGCAGTTGAGAGATGGGATGGAGGTCTGCTCTAAGCAAGGTTCTGATGACAGAGTAAGGACTGACAGGTGTGGTGGTGACACCTGTAATCCCAGCTACTTAGGAGGCAAAGGCAAGAGGACTGCTTGAGCCCAGGAGTTTGAGACCAGCCTGGGCAACACAGCAAGATCCCATCTCAAAAAGAAAAAGAAAATCAGTAAAGATATGGACAACCTGAACACCACCATCAACCAGCTTGATTTAACTGACATTTCTAGAACACTCCATACAACAGCAGAATCTATAGCCTTCTTAAGCTCAACATCAACATTAATCAGGACAGAAAACATTCTTGGCTGTATAAAACACTGTAATAAACCTAAAAGGAGAGAAGTTGTATGCAGTATGTTCTCAGACCACACACGACACAGCTCGACATACTCAGAGATTCATGAACACACACACACCTGAAGACAGACCAGCAGAGCCTGGGTGAGCTGTTGGCTGCCCCTGGCTCCCCGCAGCAGAATCGCAGGCTGCTCCATCTCACTGGCTTCTGCTCCCATTTCTATGGTAAGTGGCTGTGCCTCTGACCTCTAGTCCCCCGTGTGCTCTGTCACTTCCGTTTCCTCACCCCCTCTGCAGACTAAATTCCGTGGCTCGTCCTTACCGTGCGCCCTCTTGCCCTCTCTCGTACTCACGTGGCAAAACCCAGTCTCATGGAAACCCGAGGCTCCGCTGTGGTGCAGAGCCACGTTCCTGGGTTCGGCTCTGCCCTCCCCACTGGAAGCCGCCGCAGGCCTGCAGGAAGCCTTTCCCTGGTCACACGCAGAGCAGCCCACGCTCCTGCCCTTGGCTTTGGCAGGTCCTCCATGGAGGCCGGCCCTGGGCTGGTTTCTGGGCGCTCTGAGAAGCGCCCCGTGCTGACCAGGCTGGGCGGGGACCCCTGCCTCCCACCGGTGCGGCATGGTCAAGGGTGAACACCTGCCATCTCTCTGTGGGTCTGCATGTGGGCCGCTGCCCGCGTGGCCAGTCACCGGTGACAGTTCTGGGCGCTGAGTGTCTACTGGGCCTTCCGGGCAGAAACACTGCCTGCATGTTAGTCACTGCATCTTTCAGCGCCAGGCAGAGTAGCCTGCTGTGTCCCCGTGTCCCCTCACGGGAGGGGAGGGCACATCTAAGCCCGTGCGTGGATCTCTCCAGACTCCAGCCCGTCTTTCTCCCTGTCGATCTGGCGGAGTACCCTCCCAACTCGCTGTGATAACCCTTACTCCGCCACACAGAGACCTGCAGGAAGCCCGGCCGGGGGTGCCTGGAGACTGCAATCTACAACACAAAGGGCTAGACACTGGCCAGGTGAAGACCCCACCTGGCTGCAGTGCTGGCCAAGATAAGGTGGATATGGGATGGACGTGGAAAAGGAGGAAGCTATGAAGCAAACCTGGGTGTCCAGATCAGCTACACGGGCGAGGACTACAGGAGCTCTGTGCAAGACCGTTTCTTTCCTCCTCTACCTTATATGCAAAACACCTGTGGTGAGGATTTGTCATGCCTGCACAAGGACATGCAGCTGCACCATCCCACATGTGGACACACGTTTTCATCTGGACAGAAGATAGCAGTGGACGTGACCATCCCCTGCATCCCCTAGGTGGATAGTCAGGGTATCTTCCATGTGCCCCTTCAGACCTCCTCCACACCCCTCCTCCGAGGTGCTCTGTGCCAGAGAGGGGTCCCCTGCACCTGTGGGGTCCCCTGCCCTCTGACTTCAAATGCAGCTGGGCAGAGGTGCCGTCCAAGGCCCAGCATCTGTTCTCCCAGGTCCTTCGAGCAGGGTCCCCTCGTATCTGGGGCTCCAGCTTATGCTGGGCACCCTCTCCCACAGCTGCTGCATCGCCCTGGGTTCCGGTAAGCAGGTCGCCCCCTGACTGCCACTTCCCCACTGCGGACAGCCAGGTGCCTCGCCCCCCTGCTGTCTCCCCTGCCCTGCCCTGCCCTGCCCTGGCAAGTGGTCCCTTCACTGGACTCTGCCACCACCCGGCCAAATGTGCCACCGGCTTCCTACCAGGACCCGGACAGAGGCAGCTAAAGCTGGACTGTGAGGGAGAGAAAGATTAAGGGCAATCCACAAAGTTATACTGATGGGAGTGCACAGCGAACCTTCCTCCAGCTTTCCTACGAAACTGATCTTGTTCACGTGGGTGGGCAGACTCCTCCTGGTTTTGCACAGCCATGCACTGCGTAACGGCAGACTACATGGGAGCTGAAAATGCGACCGCAACACCACAGCTCAACGCATCTCCCACGCAGGTGGCGACGACGTGAACAAGCCTGCTGCCCCGCCATTACGTGCAGCACGCAACACGGCGCTGGACCCTGCAGGCCGGGCGGGCGCGTGGCTCAGGCAGCACCCCACCAAGGGGCGAGGCACACTGGGATCTGAGCTACAGCAAACCAGCAAGCAGCACCGGCCCACGCACAGGAAGAAAGGATGGAGGACCCCTCAGTCAGGTCTTCGGGTGGGGGCGTTCAACTACACTGCCAATTTCTGTATGAACTGAGGATAACAAATGTAAATTATTTCTGAGATCATGAAAAAAAAAATTTAATTAAAAACCAAAACAAATAAGGTAGCAAAGTATGTAAGATAATCATGCATCTATAATTACAGCATAAAATACTATACATCCTTGTATGCATGGCAATTATCACAATATAGTAGCTAAAACTTTTTAGTGCTGATGATATATTCTGTCCTAAGCCTCAGATCATTCATGCCTTTAACCCTCAGGACAGCCCCATGAAGCTGGTTCTGTTTCTCCCTGCCTCACAGTGAGGAGACCAGACACAGACAGGCCCGCCCCTTGCCCAGGGTCACAGCGGCAGGTGGACGGCTGAGCACCTCTGGGATCTCTCCAATGTGTCAGGCGAAGGTGAGCCTTTGCTATGAAAATCATCTTCTTTTTAGAAATACAAGTCCTCCTTTTACCTTCCTTTCTCCAGACCTGGTCTCTCTCCTTCATTCTTACGCACGTCTGTCCTAAGGTTGAAATCACTTGGAATGTGCCGGTGTTTACGGGCCTCCGCCACAGCTGAGGGTGGAGGACAGACTGACCATGCAACGACAGCCTCACAGGGACCCCAACTGACCCCACAACGCAGAGAACCCTCTCAGTCCAGACGGCTCAAAGGACTCCGCTAACTTCTGGGAGGCACCTGTCGCTGAGCGGCTCCCAGCTCCAGGTTCAACGTGCCATCCGTCTGCAGCTGGCACTGGGCCTCGGCCAGCACCTCGGGCTCAGGGTGTTCACCAGAGGCCAAGAGCGGCGCTCTGCAATTGCACACCCTTCCCCAGGAGCAGTTGAGGAGGAAAGGAAGGTGTTTCGTTCCTTTTACTTTTTGATGGAAGATTTACTAGTCTCTTTTAAAATACTTTCTAGAGAGCCAATCATTTCAGCAAGCTACTTTTATTTAGACTGAGAAGACTTTATACAGTAGTGAGTATACAGAACATAGCATGAAATTTACACTTGCTTTTGTTTTACTTTTGATAAATATAGCCTGGCATTCTGCTTTAATGCCATCATTTTTCAGATGAAGAAACTATGGTAAAGTGACTTGTCCCGAGGCATGCAGCCACCTAACGGCTGACCCGACCCCGCCCAGCTCTTCAGTCCTGCAGGAGGACCCTACGTCACAACCTCACTCCTCTGCCAGCACCCAGACAACTCGCTCAAAAATGGATTTTGCGAACACTGCTTGAACAGTGTGCTTGGAACTAACAAGCTAAGTAGACTGCCTGGTTTTTTTCATGTAAATCTATTTTTTGCTTATTACTGCTGTACTGGAAATATCCAACAGAAGTAAACTGGTCATTACGCATTGCGTTTAGCCTCAGCTTTGATCAGCGAGCTGAGGGCTGCGTGTGCAGTGAGCAGCCGTCCCTGTGGCTGCCCCGGGCACGGCTCACATCCCACCCGGTAGAAAGTGCAGGGCTGCTCCTGCCCGCACGGTGAGGACGCCACTGCGAAGGCACCACCAGCCCAGGGCCAGGCACAGGGCCACCCTCGCGGTCACCAAGCTCCTCGCATCGTCACTGACTTCCAAACCCTGGGAGAGAAAGCCAAGCGCTCAGGCAACCCCCGGGCCTGGACAGCCTGGGTGAGGCACAGCATCTGCACCAGTGCATCTTATGGTGTCCCCTCGCTGGCGGCCCCTGCCCTGCCCCTCCCACTGCAGGAGGACCCAGCCCTGGCCTCGCCAGGCCGCTTTCTGAGAGGGGACCTTTGTCACACCCCGGCCACTGCCTGCCCCGTTTCCCACGGCTACTCTGCTTCCTGGCCTTTAGGACCCAGCACAGTTGTATTACTTGTTTACTGCCTCACCGAAAATATATTTTCAACGAGAGCAGGAATTTTATTTCATGGTATATCCCTTGAATCCCATGAGGTATCTGGCACACAGTGGAAGCCAAACACCTGTTGAACTAATAATGCCACCAGTGAGTCACCAGACCAGAGACGTCAAGAGCTGTTTGGAAGAGAAAAGGAAATGCCCCTGTGTGTGGCCCAGGTGGTGACCCCCAGCTTAAAACACAGTTATTTCCAAACCCTGAACGTGTCTGTGTGGGCCGGCGCACCTGACGCACCGCACGCGGCCGTTTCAGGCCCTTCCGACGCAGGGGAGGGGACTCACAGCATTCGCAGGTTGTGGAAACTGAGATCGTCCTGCTCCAGCCACGGCCCTTTGTCATACTTGAGATACTCGATGTCCTCCACCACCTAGGACAGAGAAAAACTCCAATTCAAACAGAGAACCTCACTTCAGAAATTCAAGGGAGGTAACATTTTAGTACTTCTACACGTTGCTGTAACATGCCGCAACGTTTGCAGGAAGAGTCGCACCACGAAGGTCGAAAGGAACGTTAAGGTGGACGGGCGACCGGTAGTGGAACAGGGACCCCAGTGCTGCCCCTCCCCTACAGCCTCGCCTCGCTAGCAGCCCCGGACCACGGGGCGATACAGAAAGACCTCGCAGGCTGGGAGCACAGGGCAGACGACAGAGACAACCGAGACTAGAGGGGAAACCAGGGTTTGTGACAGAATACTCACTGCTTCCCAAGTGCCTTCGCTCCAGAAGGCAAGCCCTAGCCCCTCAAAGTGACAAGGGAACAAGAACACAAACACACTTCCTAGGGAGACCCAGTAACCCAAGTCTCCCAGCCCCACGGCCTACTGTCTACACAGCCCAGATGTCCTGAGGCGTGACCTTTTCACATGCACGCTCTCCGTAAAACATGCCAAACTCGGGGACTCTCTCTAGTTTCAAGAATTTGAGTATATTCTATAATCAACCCAAATAACACAGTATTAGAGGCAAAATACATCATTCTTCTAAGATACATGCCACTTAAACACTCTGTCAAAGGTATAAAAATAATCTAAAAACAAGCAAATGAGCATCCCAGAAACAGAAGTTTGGGAAGAAAACAAATATAATTTAATCAGTCCAAACAGAATGAACCAAGGTCTCCAGAGAACTTTTACAGCTGGCAGCAGCAGGGCCGGGACCAGAATGCAGTTTCTACCTGAAAGGAGAATGCTGTTCTCTAGTCAAAAAAAAGGAACTCATGCAGGTAACTCTCCTCTCATCCCCCCTGCTGAGCAGGTGAGGTGTATTTATTACATGTGGTCAACCCTGCAAAGCTGCACCTGCTACGAGAGCACGACCTACACCTCAGTCCCAGACCCTAAAACTTGTGTTTTCTAGAATTTTTAGACCTTGTTGTTTTCTTTTAGTAGTTTAATACTTAATATACAAAATAAAATTTAAAAACTTGTTCATTAACAAACAGATGTTCGGCTCCCTCAGTACCATTTAAGAAATAATCCATTTTCTTCTACTTCATTTTATAAATTATCCTTTCAGGAACTGACTTTACCAAACTAAAGACACAAACATACACATATCTGTTTCTGGATTCTGTTTCATTCCATTAAGCTATTTATTAATTCTTACATTAACACCACAGTGCTTTCATCACTATAATTTTACAGTTTGGTTTTGTATTTGAGAGGGAAAATGTCCCTGCATTATCCGTTTTCAATGTTTTTTTGGGGGGGAGCTATTATCATTAAATCCCCTGGAACTGCAGTGAGATCAATTGAACTTTCACAAACGCACTCACTAGTTTAGGGAAAGCTGTTGTCTTTACAAAACTAAGTCTTTCCCATTGACTAATCCGACTTTCAATTTTACCATCTGTTTAATAAACAAAAACACTGGAGCAGATGAGCCAAGGTTCACTGCATTTTCTCATCCATCATTTTAAGATCATAAAATCTGAATTATTCAAAGGAAAATCAAAACCTCATGGCTGGGTTGGTATTGCTTCCAGACTATAAAATACTGACGCATTTCTCAAGACCAGTGGGAATCAAACTGACTGCGTAACATGCAAGAACCTCACACAGGAATCACGATCATGAACTTCAACCGTATTTCGTACCTTCGAGGCGTCTCGAATTTCCCTCGGGGTGTATATCAACACCTCACACTTCTCGCTGAAAGGAAAACAAGATGAAACTCAATGTGAGCTTTTCTAAGCTGCAGTTAATGTACAAATGACACACACCGCTGACGCCTCCCGCCGCGAATGCTAAAACGTCTTTGAACCGGGCGCTGTGGGCACATGGGCGCTGGCTGAGGACGTGTCGGAAGAGGCAGAGGATGCAGGCGTGCCTGTGGCCTGACAGTGGCAGCGGCAGGTCTGTCCCTGGCTCCCCTTCTCTCTGACATCGCTGGTCCCTGGCCCAAGGGTGTGACCGCAGCCGCCAGTCTGCAGGGGACAAGGTGCACGTGTCCCTAGGCTGCTCCACATCCATCTCCCACCACAGGAAAGGACAGAGCAGCCAGGCCCCCACACACACAGGCACAGAGAGCAACACACATGGCAACCTGGGACGCAGGTTAACTGAGCTGCTGGGAGTCAGGATCTAGGAGACAAATGAACCCTCCGAACAACCAGTTTCAACCAAACTATGCAACAGGGTAGCAGCAACCGAGTCCCTGTAGTACTAAGTCTGGACACTGAAAATCACCACCAGGTCCCAGAGGGAAGGGAGCAGCGGCTCACCACTGCAGCCCTCGCCCGTTCCCTCCATGTTCACACTGGCCGTTTAGAGACCGGGCGTCCAGCCAGGAGACGACGGAAACCAGCAGGCTGGCAAGGCCACGCCCTGCCAAAGGGAGGCGCTGCCTCTGCCCTCACCTCCAGACCAGGGGAGCTGTCAGCACCACCCTGGCCGGAGAGGCCCCAGGCAGGCCTGCTAGAATGCCCGTCACAGCAGAGATGCTGGAACCCCCATCGGCAAGGGGGACAGAAGAACGTCAAGAAGGGACTAATGTTTCCCTTGTATCATGGCATGGCATAAACTAGGGGCACCTCGCATGCAGGCATCTTTATGCAGATGTAAGTGGGTGGAACAAATAAATACTCCAGGAACTTACAAGCTTTTTATTCTCAGACTGAAATCCACGTATAACCTCTACGGTACCAAACTTCACCAACTCTGCGGCCCGTCTTCAACAGACTACTGGCTTAATTAAATGAGTTAGTATAAAGTACTTATATTGTGTTAAGTATCATTATTACTGATATAATTAATTCCAAAGTGCAGGAAAAATGAAGTTGTTAAGCCTGTAATCACTGGACAGCACACCTGTTCTCCAAAAGCCGACAGCACATGATTCAAAGGGCCATCCAGTCGGATAATATCTTCTTACAGCAACCAGATCACCGCACTTCTCCTATCACTAAGATCAACCTGAGGGTTCAGAAACTGTGAGCACAATGACCGTTAACTCCAGAGTTTGGAAAATACCGCACTTGCCGTGAAGGTTGGGAAGTCAAAGGTCACTCTAATTGCAGGACTTTCTGCTTCTCCCCTCACCTGTCTAGAGCTACCTATCGCTGCTGCGCAGAGAGGTGAAGCGTGACAAAGGGGAGTCACCTTCCTCTGCAGCCACACAAGTGGACGCTAAACCCAAGTACGTGGGAGACAAGGGTCCCAACCTCCCTGACGATCAAGGGAGTGAATGGGGCTGGCATGGAAACAACAGGACATTTCCTCACACAGGAGTATGAAGGTCACAGACTACTGGACATTCTTGACATGCCTATCACAGGCGTGGACATGAGAGATCTGGAAACTATGTGACAGGTACTTCCAACACACAGAACTGAACAGACATGAACTGACCCCCGCAGGTGATAAAGACAAGAGACCTCGGCCTGCTGAGAGCAACCTGGGGGGGCGGTTTCACAGCCTGACATTCCCGCCTCCTCTGTGCCCCGGTCCAACAGTGCCCACGGTGGGCAAAGCACCATGTGCATGCCTCAGTAACAGAAAAACAAAATCCCCCTCTTCCCGGGCAGGCCAGCCTCTAGTTCCCACTAAGTAATGAGGGGGAACAAAGGCAGTAGCGGTGAGCCATCTGGGGGACGAGCCTGTCCCTACAGATCACAGGGCCAAGGACAGCCACCAACCTGTGCTCGTCACTGCTGAGCCCACGATGATATGACAACACTCCCAGAGCCTGCCTGCTGCCCACCTGCCTTAGAACAACCTGGAACAACAGATGTTTACAAAACTCACTAAGGGCCAGGCTGGTCACACAGGGCCCCCTGCTTGTCTCTGAAGTCTCAGAGAAGTTTCTTTCTCAGACAGGCCTGGCCTCCTGTCTCAGGCACGAATGCCTCTCGGCTAACACGGGCGCTGACAGCCAGCCATGCGAGCTGACTCAGGATGTGCTGAACAAAGGAACGGCCAAACGTCTGTTCAACTAAGCAACAGCTCACGCTTATTTATGATACATTCATAATCAAGGGAATGAGGATAAAAACATGTACTCTTAGGATCTGCATCATAAATACCAACAAAACCAGAAAATACACATTCCTATGACAGCTCGTTGTGGCTCTTAAAATCCCACCATACGATTATTTTGGGCAAGGCTGCCATGTTCTGTATGTGTTCATAAACAGCATATACAGAAGCAGCGAAGCATCCCCACCTACCGCCAGGTGCACAGGAGAAACTGCCCAGGTGAAGATGAGACGTGCAGGGCTTCTCCAACGACAGCTTCATCCTGCAGAGTAAATCTGCTCTGTCTCAAACACTGCTATGAAAGCTAAATATTTCTCCTTATTCAATTTTGATTTTATCATTTACTTATGTTCCAATAATATTATTGTCTGAGGTTGCTCATTATAAATAAATAGCATTTAACTAAATGATGGTTAGAATGAAGAAGCCCAGGAAACCTAAAATCGTTTCTTTGAGAAAATACCTTCTGAATTCTAAAACACAAATGACTTATAAACTTTAGCTTATAACTTATTTGTTATAGGTTTCTTGAAATTTTGAGTAAAGTAGTTTTAGTCAAATTTTACAGTGGATTTCTGAGAGAAAACCTTAAGATATGAGTCTATCTCACAAAGCTGTAGTGTGATCTTGAACTGTAACTTAAAACATATAAAGCACACTGCATGGAGTACTTCTGGTCCTTGTTCTTCTAAATGTGACAAAAGCCACTCCCATAAATCAGTATAGCTTGGGCTGCCAGAGAGAACTCACTTTAACAGGGAACAGAAACTCTATCTTCAAAGACAAGAGCTGAAATCACAGCAATACCAAGCAGCGAGGAAAAAATGCTGAGGCTTGATGAATCTACATGGGCTACACAGTAAAAGCAAGTCTCACCTGTATGAAGCTGCAATCAGGCATTATTTTCCTGATGTTGTAGCTAGAAATTCTATTTGAGAACTTATGAGAAAGCTCTTCCTCAAGGATGCTTCTGAAGCAAGATGCCCAAGAGGAATTTTTAAAACTGAAACTTCTAAGGAACTCACGCAGGTAGCTCTCCTCGCACCCTCCCTGCTGAGCAGGTGAGGTGTATTTGTTACATGTGGTCAACTCTGCAAAGCTGCACCTGCTACGAGAGCACGACCTACACCTCAGTCCCAGACCCTAAAACTTGTGTTTTCTTCTAGAATTTTTAGACCTTGTTGTTTTCTTTTAGTAGTTTAATACTTAATTTACAAAATAAAATTTAAAAACGTGTTCATTAACAAACGGATGTTCAGCTCCCTCAGTACCATTCAACTACGTTTGTTTATGCTGTGTATTCACATAGCTCTACGTATTCCCCCCTTGGCAAAGATTTGTAAAACTGCTTTGCTCTTCACTTCTGGTCTTGGGAATAGAGCAGTACAACAGGTTGAAAGGAACCTGGAGTTTACCCTGTCTTTTCTACCACCTAAGAAAGAAAAGCTTATCACAAGCAGGCAGAGATTATACAACCATCAACATTATGGTTAAAAAAAAAAAAAGGAAAAAAATCTTTTCAATTGAAAAAAAATTTTTCTGCCAAAATTACTATACTTTACGTGCTTTTTATTCACAATTTTATAGTTACTTTGAAATTTTAAACACCAGCATGATATTTTTAGGTACCAAAAAAGGCTTAAAATCCTAGCACTCTGGGAGGCCAAGGCAGGCAGATCACTCAAGGTCAGGGGTTCGAAACCAGCCTGAACAAGGGCAAGACGCCGTCTCTACTATAAACAGAAAGAAATTAATTGGCCAACTAAAAAGTATATAGAAACAATTAGCCGGGCATGGTAGCGCATGCCTGTAGTCCCATCTACTTGGGAGGCTGACACAGAAGAATCGCTTAAGCCCAGGAGTTTGAAGTTGCTGTGAGCTAGGCTCACGCCACGGCACTCTACCCTGGGCAGAGAGTGAGACTCTGTCTCAAAAAAGAGAAAAACAAAGGCTTAAGTTTTTAAAACGTATGAGAACTATCACTAAAAACCTTCAATAAAAGCATTATTCAAAGAATCTGCGTTTAACTGGACTTGAGTGACAGTGGCAAATGGCATTCTTTACACACAAACACAACGAATAAACCCAGGGGCCACAGAGTGACAAGCTAGAGAGTGGGTGAAAACATCGTCCTTGTGCCGTCCACAGAGAGCAGAACAGAAACGGAGGGCGGAAGGACAACGGTCTGCTGGCGGTTACTCCACCCAACCCACTCCTCTCACTGACGCCAGACACCAGGGTCTACACAACCGTCTACACACCACAAACCTCCTCTGCAAACGCACCCAGCACGTCCCGGCAGCCTTCCCAGGTAAACACAAACGCTTGCTTGCCACCTGAAGTAAAACTACTCCAAAACTTTAAAAACCTATACAGAAAGTCTATACAAAACTTTAAAAATCCATACAAAGCGGAAGAAGTACCGACAAAATAAGCAAACCAAAAAAAAAAAAAAAAAAAAACCCACAAAAATCAAGCTGAAAGGCCTCCTGTGGTCCTTGTTTATAAACATCAGGTGACAACACCCTGGACCACATCCACCGAGCTGAGTGAGAGAAAACTCCCCAGGCTGTTGGGACGAACCAACTATCAGCAAAGAAGCTTCGGTCCAGAAAACCAGCGTGGCTCACCTCATCTCAGGGAGGAAGGTCTTCTTATAGGCATTCTCGATGTCCTGAAGATAGGCAGTGGTGATCTTCATTTCGTGCGGCTAAACAAAAGCAGAAACATCAAACTGGGAAACACTTGGACCTCGCTTTCTCTTACCTGTGCACGTGTAAGAGGTATCGATACTCGGTGAGTACCGTCTCGTCAAATAACTCATGCTGGGCCTTATAGGGACTCTGGGGTGACAGGAAAGGCCTCAACATCGGTTGGAGTCATTCTCACTCTACAACAGTGGACACCTGAGTCTGCCCAGGTGTGCCCGCGGCGTGACCGTCCTCTGTGGGCTCTAGGACGCATACTTAGAACAGGGCAACGCAGCAGCCCCCGCTGCAGACAGCCTGTGTTCCCGGTCCCTCCATGCCCGAGTGCAAGCACTGAGAGACCACAGCAGAGGAGGCCGGCCTCTGCCATCTGTCCTCAGCTCCCTCCTGCCACCTCGCCCTCTCCGCCCTGTGTGTCTCCCTGTGTCCCCACCTTCCTCTCCTCCTCCTCTCTCCTATCCTCCACCCCCTTCCGCTTTCTCCGCCCTCACCTCCCTCATTGTACGAAGTGGCTAAGCCCGTTTCAGAAACTTAAAAGTCCAACTGAGCGGCACGTTTTGATATCTAAAACTCCCCACAGTTCAACACCAAAGGCTGCTATGTTATCCTCTCACCCTGCTTTCTTTTCTTCATGGCATTTACCTCTACTGATGTTTTCCTTATTTACTATGGGTCCCCATTAGAACAGGAGCTCTGGAGCAGGGACCTCAGCCCCCGTTCAATGACGGCCCCAGCACCACCAAAGCAAGAAGCACAGTGAGTGCCCAGTGACCATCTGTGGGAAGAAATGGTCTCTGTGTCGTCCATCACACCTATGGGCCACAGGGTGACTTCAGAAAGCGGAGTTTTAGGGCACCTAATTACGGCTCAACCAAAACTAAAAAAATAAATGGATGTCACTGCTCTACTATTCCAGAATTGCTAAGTAGGAAAAAGGAAGGAAGAAATAGTTAGGCCTACTGTTCTGACTCACAAAACTATGAAAATATTTCAAAACTCCATTATGGTGACTGTTGAAAAAAACCTGGTAAATTGACTAAAACTCATTGAGCTGTACCTTATAATGGGTGCATTTCATGTAGTATAAATTATACCTCACTAAAGCCCTTCAAGAAAAAAAAAACAAAAGAACCAAGCTTTCCAAGAGCATCTGCTGAGAGCCTGTAGCGCCAGCAGTGAGACCAGGCACAGAAAGGCAACCCAGGCGCCGCTGCATCATCACCTCGATCAGAACAGGGGGTGTTTTCCCTCAGGAAAATACTGAAACTGGGAGTTTTATTTTCGATAAGGACCTGGCATCAGGGCAGAGACGGTCTTTGTCGATCTCTGTATCCTCCTAGTGTGTGGAGCAGGTGCCTCGCCTGTGGGAGGTGCTTGGCATTAGTGGTGGGAATGAAATCGGCAAAAGTAATACATGAGTAACGTGATCTGAAATCTCTACATTAGCTCTGTTCCAAGTAAAGCAAGACTAAATGTAGACCAGTTGTGAAACGAACTACAGCATGTGTATTAGAAACACACAACATAAAAACACAGCAATCCCAGAAATTTGACTTGCGAATACTAGATAAAATATTTAGTTACTGATAACTTCGCCTGTTTTCGTAGAGTTTAGAAATGGTTTTCGGATGTTCCCACCAGTTATTACCAAAGGCTACAACACAATCGTAGACTACGCTGAAAAATCAAAACAAGAACACATACCTATTATTGCTATAATGAATCTTTTTTAAAATGTGGGCATTTCAGCTGGTGACAATACACATCTAAGACTTTACTTGGAAAAATAGAAAAGCTGACAGCTCTATTTTGGACCTCAGAATGTTTCTGAAATACATCGTTATCCCAGATGACAAAAGAATTCTGGACGCATGCCTTCATTTTTCTCAGCGTCAGTGTAATAACCAAAGGTGCCCAAAATTATTCCATTGAGAAACCATTAAATATTTTCAACTTGCAGTTCCCTCCTCTTGCCACTGGATGGCACGTTTCTGCAAGTCTAAATTACATGACATACTAAGAGCAAACTCTGGATACACGAAAGGTACAGAGTAGCAACACATAGGGACAGACGTCTCCCCCTGCTTACTGAAAGACAGAGAGAGGAGGACAGTTGGTCTCTTGCAATCTTTCAGCAGCAGCAAAGGATAAATGGAGCTTTTTTTGTCCTGACAAGAACCTCCTGTTCAGAGAGGCGTCTGAGGGACACGGAGGAGCACTCCAGCCCTGAGCGCGGGCACCGAACGATGAACAAACAGGCGCCCTGCATTTCATCGCAATGTCAAAGAGGAGATCATATTTTCTTCCAGTAAAAAATGCTGCAGCACTAAACAAGGACAAGCCACAGGGCAAAGATGGTCTTTGTTGACCTCTGTATCCTCCATCACACCTCTGGGCCACAGGGTGACTTCACAAGGCGGAGTTTTACGCCACCTAATTACGACTCAACCAAAACTAAAGGAATAAATGGATGTACGTGGAGGCCACTGCTCTACTATTCTAGAATTGCTAAGTAGGAAAAAGGGGAAAAGACACAATTTGAGTTAAACAGATGGGATATCAGAAATCGCTTTCAATTTGCAGGGAAATGACAAGACACAAAAACCCCATTAGGGAACAAAAAGGCAGAGGAAGGTCAGGGGCCTTTCCCATCCTCACGAGAACAGCTGAGGTGACTCTGGGACAGCAGTGGGGCTGGGGGGCACTGGCGGGCGGCAGCTCCTCCCAGGGGCAGCGCCAAGCCCAGCCTGGGCCACCCCCCTGCAGACGTCTCCTCTCTGCGGGGCGCACTGCGCATCACCCTCCCGCCCCCATGAGGACCACCAGGAATCCGTGTCCCACTACAGACAGGACTTCCGAGCGCTGCCCCACAGTATTATAAAAATAACAGGACCGATAAAAAGATGCTTGGCCTTCAATTTAAATCTGACTTACGTCTCCTTTCTTCTGAATCCGACTCTGGACCTCTGGAACAGGCACGTCGATATAGATCACCACGTGGGGAGGCAGGTACTCGCAGATGGTAACGTTCTTCACCTCCTTGTAGTGGTCCACACCTGGCACACACGACAGAGGCAGCCTGTCACCCTACAGTCCCCACACAGGCTTCTAAAAGGTACCTGAAATCCTCAGAGCCATGCATCCATCTTCAAGTCACACAATGGTCACAGCTCTGACCGCTGACCACACGCGTGGCGTGTGACTGTGTTCCCGGAGCTGGGGGCATTGGCACAAAGCCCCTGTGCGTTCTGGGCTCGGCCGCCACCATCACTCCAGGGCTTTCCCAAGACAAGCGTGCCCCCCGGCAGTGCTGAGGCCCAAACTGTCTCTCAGGACTTCAGCACAGATGCCCAACTGCATGCAGCATCACCTGTGGCCTGGATCGGGGGTACCTCACACTCAAGATACCCAAGCACGAAGCCCCCCGCAGCCCGGTGCCCTGTGCACCTCCCAGGTGGCCACTAGCCAGGGCAGGCCCACCGCTGCTCTCTCCCCGTGCCCCACCAGGCCGCCCGCCCAGGCAATGCCCTCTGCCCAGTGAAGACCCATTGGCACAGCATCCCACCCCAACTGCCTCCCAACTGGGCTCCTGCCCCTTGCATCTCCCCTCACCAAACACACCCTTCAGATGAAAGCCTGTGATTATTTTTAACTCAACTCTAACCACGCCCCTGCCACGTTTAAATCCTCCCATGCTTCCTCAGTACTTTTGGGACAAAATCCACATGTCCTAGCCGAGGGCAAGCCCCTCCAGCACTGCTCTCTGCGGCACCTGGCCCTCCCTGTGTGACCCTGGCAGCCTGCTGCCACCACAAGCCCTCCACCATCCCCACACCTCCCTTGCCCAAGGGCCACTCATCGTGAAAGCTGCCCCTGACAGCACTCCCATCTCCCAGCCAACCAGACATTTCTCCTGTGCGCTTCCTAGAGTAACACTGAGGCGCGTTAGGTACGCTATATTACATCTACGTTGGCTGGATGGCCTCCCCCGGACGCCCAGGACCGTGGGAGCCTTGTCTTGCATGTCTACATGTCCCCAGCACCTAAGGCACCGCCTGGCACAAAGCGGGCACTCCCGAAACGCGTGCTGACCTCAACTGCTGCTCGCCACGTCCGGGGAGCGCCTGCCCCTTGGTCAGAAGCAAGGCTCCGACGGCTTTCTGCCTACAAGCACGTGGTGGACCATCCTTAAACACTGCACTGCCTGCACGCAGACCAAGACAGACTGAACGCCTCCTGCTCAGGATCAGCGCTTGCCCACTCGGCTTGCTTTCATCCCCCCGTTCATTAATTGACAGCGCCTGCTGGGGCCTCCCACACTGCAGCGGACCGCTGGCTCCAGCCACCAGCACGCAGATGAAAACGTTGCCAGTCAGACTGACCACAGGCTTGTTCAAAACACTGCCCCAACATGCCTTAGTTACAGACACTCCAGTCCCCCGTGGCTCCTCAGGGTCAGCCTGCTTCTAGCCAGGCTTTCATTCCTTGTCATTTGCCACTGGCCAGACCTTAGACCCCCCCCCCAACACAATGCCACCATCCCCAAAACCTGAGAACAGTGACAAGTCAGCAAAAAGAAAGGGCTCTGACACCGACGACACTGCAAGCGAGCGGGGACGGGCACAGGGAAAACAAGACCTCCCAGTTCCCCAACAAGGCACACACTGGACACTGGAGCATTCGGCACACCTGCATCTGCAGGGCAGGGGAGAAGCGTGGGTCTGACAGGGCAACCCGAGCGCCGGGTCACTCCTGGGGGAAGCCGTGAGGGCCGAGGGTCAGGCTGTGCATGTGCAAGTGTCCAGGGACCCACTCCACTCGCACAGGGAGACGTGATAGGACAGAAACACCTTTTAGGAGAAGAAGCTGGAAGGAACCTCAGTCGGACCCCTCTTTCCTGCAGACATTCCCTCGTAACGGCGTTTATCCGTCTTTGTAAGGGATATTCACCAACACGCTGACCGCGCCTCGAGGCGAGTCTCTCGTGGCCTCTGCAGAGGCACACGGCACGCACAGACGCTCATCTGCGACCCCAACTCACACTGCTTTCGGATGAATCCCTGGTTGTACATGGCCTCCAGGAAAACAAAGTCGCTGAAGATGGAGCGCTCCAGCACCACCCCTTGTCCTGTTCAAAAGCAGGGAAACAGAAGCCAAGAGTCAGGTGACAAACCACTGTGCACTAGCAGTGCCATTTTAAAAACAGAAAAAAAGTCATTTACAATTCCATTCCCATACCAAATACTTTCAAAGGAACACACATATCTGTAACTGGAAAACCATTTTCAAAATTATAGCACTTTTTTGTTTTTTAGCAATATAACATGTTTCACTTAGTCAGCTATAAGCATCCAGTTAATACAAAAACTGCTTCTCTTTTAAACAATCTGTCCCACCCGCGGTGCCCACCCCAGTCCTGCTCCAGCCTGACAGCTCCAGCCAGGTCTACTGAGGCTGGCACTTCCTCAACCTTGCCCTACCCATGCCCAGCCTCACTGGCATGCGACTGTCACCGCAGCCCATGACACTCCCACATCTCAGGACACTGGTCCCCAGGTTCCCAGCCCAGCTCCCTGCAGTCAGCCCCGCTGTGCACGGGCAGAGGCCTCCCCACACCTTTGCCCTAAGAGAACAGGCCCCAGCCCACCCCACGGGCCTCATCAGAGCACCCCCACCTCAGGACCTGACACACTTGTTTCCAGGATGAGTCTCTGTCCCTCACTAAAACATAAGCTTCCCTCCCTGTGGCATCCCTAGCTCCAAGCATGGGCTTGGCACACAGCAGGCATGCACCAAATATTTAATAAACAAGTTAATATAGTACAAAAGGAAACAAGTGTTTATTTAATAATCAAAGTGTTTGTTTTTAATTTTAAGAAATGGCCAGAAGACAGGGCCGAAGCGTGCTTCAGGAAGAACCTGGAGAAGCCCGATGTCGGCATAAAGTCTAAGCTCTGCGCCAGTTCCTGTGAGTTGGGTCCTGGTGCAGAAGCTCAGAAGGCAGACGGCACACCACATTTTTTTCTTACCAGTAACACTAACCAAAATCAGGGCTTACATTCATATAACAAAAAAGAATCACTAATAAAATGATGAAAAGGCAAGTCAATAACCAGAGCCTCTGAAACGGTTTGGATGAGGGCATCACCGTGCGTTTCATGGATGTACACTGTGTATGCGGGAGCCTAAAGGAGCACAAAGCAGTGGCTCCCCATCGGCTTTGGGAACCAACCTCATCGGGTATCCAGGGTGTGGTTAAAAACACATTTCTTACAGCTCAGACCCAATGAAGCCACCTCTAGTGCAGCTGAACTTCTGAGCATAAATAAGCCCATCTGGAGCACTGACCGTATACCCGTGTGGCCACCCTGCCATACAGAGCAGACACAAAGCCCATGGGAATCACCCAGTCGCCCTCTCTCCTACACACGTGCATGCCATGTGCTTCTACCTGGGAATTCAGAACCACCATGGCACGGTAGCTTTGACCAACAATCAGCAGTGTATCTGTTGTCCCATTCTCAGGGTGTTTTGGGACCGGACCCAAGTTTAACAAAGGTTGCTGTTTCCCAGGACGGTAAATCAGCCCTGGCCGGATCTGCCCTCATTCTGCACAAGCACAACCTACGTTCCTGTCCCATCTGTCCACCCTCCCTTCATCTCCAACTTTGTTTCCTGATCCCTATCGTACATCTCCCAGGCTCGGGACCTTGCGTAACCTAACACACAGCCCTCGTCCACTTCTTCCCTGCTTTGGATAACTTCCAGGGACACAGCCCCACTTACTGCACAAGCCAGTGACACCCTGTGTGTCCCGCCTCCCTCTACTCATGCCATCTTCCCAAGGTTTAACTTCTGCTGTGTGGCCTTATGAATTCCAGCCCATCTCTGGGCCCTCCAAGACAACCCTATTTTGTTGTCATCCACATTTCCATATGATACACACTCCATCTTCACAAGTGTGATTCCACTTCCTCCTGGTGGCTTACATGATCTTTCTTTCCTCCATCATTTTGACACATTTCATGTATGTGCTTAAAGCACTGGCAGGAAAATTCCATACAATCTCACTCAAGTACACAACAGTAAAATAATATTAAGTTAATTTTATTCTGACGCAACAATAACATGGATCTCAGGGAACTTATAATCTCATTGAAAAGACAGAACTTACCTCATTAAATACCCCTAAAGAAAAGCTATACTTAGTGACAATTTACAACAGTTGAATTCTAGAACAGAGTTCAAGTACAGAACATGTCCCCCAGCTACCTGACCAATGATACTCCACCTGTGCTTAGCAAGTGTTCCAAGGCATCCGCGTACTGTAGGAGGCGACTGGCATACAGCCAGGACTGCAGGCGGTAACTGTTGCCATCGTTACTTGTCGGATCATCATAGAATTTCTCCAAACTACAGTTGCCACTGACCTCTACGTCGAGGGGCTTTCCATCTCCTGTAGTGCTGTCTGCATAATGTATCCCTGCTTCAGGGAAATGCTTTAAGCCTGAGAAGAGAAATGACTGGCTGAGGCCTCATGTGGACCACTCCTTCCTATCAGCAAGCAGCATGGACTGACCAAGCCACTCAGCCCATCTGAATTTCATCACCAAGGATGGTCCCTGAACCCCTGGGGAAAGCTACCCTCGAACCTGTGCTTCATGACACATAAAGGGAACACACAAGATACCAAAGCCAACATGCCTGAGCACGTGTGTAAGATATGTATGTGAGCTAAAGCACTGCACTATGCACTGAATTCCTGCTAAAAGGACGGCTTGACCGTCCATGACCACAGGAGCTCTTCTATGTAAGTGGGCAGCTTGCAGTGGACAAACATCTGCACAAGTAGTCGAGAAACAGGGCTCTAATCGTGGATTTGCCACTGCCCAGCTGTGCCATCAGCTTATCTTACTGAGTTCACCCATCTGAATATGAGCACAATAGTAGCAGCTCTGTCAGTCTCAAGAAGCTGTTGCAAAGTTCAAATATGACAGTTTACTGGAAGGGTCCTGCTTACACTATCAAGATAAAATTCCAACTTAAATTGACAACTAGCATAGATTTTTTAAAAAGATTTTCCAAATCTGAAAGACTAAAAGCAGCTTTTTCAATAAGCAAAAATGTAAAATGCCCACCTCAGGCTCGATTCTACCTGGTCAATTAAAGTCAAGTCAAAGTGAGATAAGCAACCGTACATCTGAGAAAAAGACGCCATTCTGCAGAACACAAATTCATACCTAGTTGCTCCGCTATTTCTTTTGCAAGCTTGCCTTTTCCAGAACATATGTTGCCATCTACAGTTATCACCTTGCTGTATTCTGTCAGTTTTTTGGTGGTGGTTTCACCGAGCGTGAACGCCAAGGGTCCATACTGCAGCTTGCCCTGCACGCTGGTATGAATTCTTCCCTAAAACGCACAACACACAACAGCACAATGAGACCATTCTGGCCACTACAGGCACTTGTAATTCTTAGGCAAAAATGCCAAAAAGTCCTTGGTAATATAAATGTCAACATCTACATCTTTATTACCTATTAATTCGTTTAATTATCTGTTCTCCCTCCCGCCCCCGAGCCACACACGCTCCATAAGGACCCCCGCCCGCCGCCTCTCACCACGCGCTGGGCGCCGGTCACCAAGACCCGCGCGGACGTGGACGCCCCGACCACCCTCAGGAGCCTCAAGGCCATAGCTAGCACGGTCGGCTCCGGCTCAAGGACCCGAGCGGATGAGGTCGCGGCCGGGTCCTCTCCTACCGCCGGCGCGCCGCCGTGACGTCACGGCCGGGGTGCCCGCGGCGCCTGTCGGGAGCCTTCCCAGAAGCGCGGGCCGCCAGGGAGAGCGCGCTTCCCCGCCGGGCTTCTGCGGGCGGCCTGGGGCTGCGTGAGGACCGTGACTCGGGGCCCGCTCGCTGGGTCCTGAGTCGGTGCGGGTGCGGGGCAGAGCCCGCCCCGGGGCGAGGGCCGCCTCCCCCAAACTCCACAGGCGGGTGTGGAAGTCCGAGTCGCCTCAGAGAGAAGCTTCCAGCTCCGGGACGGGCTGGGTTGGGGAAGGGCCCGGGCCGGGAGCCGGAGGGATGGGTGGGAGGATGGGAGCTGGGGAGGGATGGGGGAGGGAGGGAGGTGGGATGGACCCTGGGAGGAGGGAGTGGGGAAGGGTGGGATGACCCTGGGGAAGGGATGGGAGTGGGGAGGATTGGGAGCCTGGGAAGGAATGGGAGTGGGGAGAGATGGGATGGCCTGGGGAGGGATGGCAGTGGGTGAGGTGGGAGTGGCGGGAGGGAGTGGAGGGTGGGATGGAAAGGGGGATGGGGTGGGGATGGGGATGCCCTTGGGGAGGGATGGGGGAGTGGGGAGGGAGGGGAGGCCCTGGAGGAGGGAGTGGGGAGGGGAGGATGGATGGCCCTGGGGAGGATGGGGGTGGAGGAGGGATGGGGGTGGGAGGAGGGATGGGTGGGGAAGGGTCTGGATGACCCTGGTTGGAGGGATGGGAGTGGGGAGGGTGGGATGACCCTGGGAGGGATGGGGAGTGGGGAGGATGGGATGGCCTCTGGGGAGATGGGAAGGTGGAGGATGGGATGGCCTGGGGAGGGGATGGGGTGGGGAAGTGGGATGACCCTGGGGAGGGATGGGGAGTGGGGGAGGATGGGATGACCCTGGGGGAGGATGGGGAGTGGGGAGGATGGGATGGCCCTGGGGGAGGGCATGGGGTGGGGGAAGGTGGGGATGACCCTGGGGAGGGGATGGGAGTGGGGAGGATGGGGATGACCCTGGGGAGGATGGGAGTGGGGAGGATGGGGATCCTGGGAGGGATGGGAAGTGAGGATGGGGATGGCCCTGGAGGGATGGTGGGGAAGGTGATGACCCTGAAATAGGATGGTGACCCTGGAATGGAGTGAATATCCTATGATGGTGGGGGAGTAGGATGGCCTGAGAAGGGATGGTGGTATGGCCCTGGAGGATGGGAGGAGGATTGGGATGGCCTGCGGGAGGATGGGAGGTGGGAGGGTTAGTGATGGCCTTGGAGGGATGGGATGGCCTGGGACGGATGGGGTGGGGAGGGGTAGATGGCCTGAGGAGGGATGGATCCTGGGGAGGGGATGGGAGTGAGGATGGTATGGGCCCTGGGAGGGATGGGGGTGGGGAGGGAGGATGGCCCTGAGGAGGATGGGATGGCCCTGGGGAGGGATGGAGTGGGAGGGATGGGATGGCCCTGGGGAGGGATGGGTGGGGAGGGGATGGGATGAGCCCTGGGGAGGCATGGGGTGTCGGGGAGGGTAGGATGGCCCTGAGGAGGGATGGAGGCCCTGGGGGGGATGGGAGTGGGGGAGGGTGGGATGGACCCTGGGGAGGATGATGGGAGATGGATGGCCTTGGAGGGATGGGGTGGGGAGGGTAGGATGGGCCTGAGGAGGATGGGATGGCCTGAGGGATGGGAGGTGGGGAGATGGGATGGCCCTGGGGAGGATTGGGAGTGGGGAGGATGGGATGGCCCTGGGGAAGATGGGAGTGGGGAGGGTGGAATGGCCCTGGGGAGGATGGGAGTGGGGAGGATGGGATGGGCCTGGGATGATGGGGAATTTCCTTTTT